AAGTAGGAGCGCCAATTCCAGGATCTCGAACCATACTCTAACCTACCACAGGGATCATTTGTCTCGTCTCCTGGAAGCAGCGTTCTCCCATCTGTAGCCTCTCGTCCTGGCCTAAGCAGTCCCTCACCATCTTTCCGACCTTTCGATCGCCGATTTCAATCGCGAATTTCCTCCTCAGCTATCAATACACCTCGCTCGTCATCCCCGGCATTTCCTTTTCTTTCCAGCCATAGCCGTAATGTCTCTTTAAGCTCGCAATTCCTCCTCGACCAAGCCGATCTAGAAACACCCACGCCGCCATGGGAGGTGGTTCGTTGGACAAAACTACGAAAGCTCAATGGTCATGCATTCTCTGAGGCAGGGAAACGAAACTTTGGTTCCCCAACTTGTCTCGCTGTATCAGCAACGATAGTGCTTGGAACGTCGAAGGGTATAATATTAGTGTTCGATTATAACCAAAATCTCAAAATGATTATTGGTCCAGGGACAAAAGGTAGGTTACAATTCGTTCGCTGCGATGCATGAAACTGACATGGTTTAGCTGTCGAATCTGGGCCAATCACTGCTATAGCGATATCTGCAGATCATACTACAATTGCAGGAGGACATGCGAGTGGAAACATCTTTACTTGGGATACAGGTCGCGCCTCGAGACCTTTTCTAACAATACCACATTTGGAGCCATCGCAGCTTCAAAATCGCACAGCAGATGGACATGTCCCTGACGTTGCTATCACTCACCTTGGGTTCCTGGGAACCCGCCATACAGCACTTGTTTCAGCCGATAACAAGGGTATGGCTTTCTCGCATCTGGCGACTAGAGGAACCGGTGCTCTTGGGCGAACCGTGAAAACCCATCGAATTCTTGGTCGATATCCAGATGCGCCAATGCCTCCAGGGAAGACGGTCAAGCCTAGTACCGTTCTTGCATTCGCACCTCTACCCCTTGGCAATGTCGAGTGCTCAACAGATACCCTAGGTTTGACAGCTATGCTGACGCCATATCTTCTTGTTATTGTGTCTACTACACCAGTGGCGCAGACTCAACACAAGTCGGCACGACCTAAGGATGTTCCCCCTCACAGCGCGATGACAGGATGCTTGGCATGGTTTCCAGCAGTGAAGCTAAAAGTTCCCGACTCTCAAACTGGCAGCGATATCTCAAAGGTGAAGCTTGCTTACTGCTGGTCCAATATTTTGACAGTGCTGGATGTGGACGAGTATCCTCGTGAAGATAAGGATCAACCTGCGTCATATAGATTCAAGGCACGAAGTAGGTGGAAGTGCGAAGAAGCCATTGTTGCTGTACAATGGCTCAGCCGTTCAGTACTAGCGGTGCTTACGATATCTCAAAGAATGATCGTACTTGAAGACAGGAGCATGCGCATGACAGAGGGCTTCGATCTTGTGCAAAAGTACATATACCACGCAGATCTATTCTCAGAGCAGTTACACACTCTCGTGGAGCAGCTTGATGAGAACGATTCCTCGATGCATGGCGTTGTAGCTGATGCCTTCTACATGAGCTTCAAAGCTTACAAGGGGAGGATATTCATCCTTGGCTTCAACGAAGTTTCAATTGGCGCATTGTCGAATTGGGCCGACAGACTTATTGCTATGATGGAGAATGGCGACTATCTGGGCGCTATCCAGCTTGCCACTTCATACTATACTGGTGATGCAGACAAGCTCACCGTTGGATTGCCGGAGGATCCTTCATTGCGTCACACTATGGTTCGTGACAAGATTATGGAGATCATCAGTGCCTCTTTGAAATATGCTTTTGGTCAGCGTCAGAAGGATCCCGAGAGCTACGACGATGAGCACATGAAGCACTTAGCAGAGACCTGTTTCACAGCTTGTCAAGCCGTTGGCAACCAGGACTTCCTCTTTGAGGACATGTATGACTGGTACGAAGATGCTGATATTGGGGGTATCTTCCTTGAGTGCCTCGAACCATATATCCTCGAGAAGACCATCACGATGGTGCCTCCAACTGTTGTCAAAGATTTGGTCCAGCACTACGTCAGTCGAGGATGGGAGAGCAGACTTGAGGAAATGATCTGCCACATGGAGACGTCGACGCTGGATCTTGACCAGATAACGTTGCTGTGTAAGCAACACAGCTTATATGATGCTCTGATCTACGTGTGGAACCAGGCACTCGGTGACTATATCACTCCTATGATTGATCTTCTGTCTTTGTTGATACCTCTCATGGTTGATGGGGACTTTACGGCAAACAATCCAGCAGATGACTTCTTCAGCATCAACGCCTTCAAGATTTTCCCATATTTGTCTTACACATTGACTGGCAGGGTGTATCCAAACGATGAACCGATGAGTGAAGATATGGCAACCAAAGCTAAATCTGAGATTTACTGGTTTTTCTTTTCCGGAAGAACTATTACGTGGCCCAGAGGCAATGGGAACGAGTTTCGTACCATCCCGAACTCTGAGTCGCAACCATCGTTTCCATATCTTCGCATGATCCTCAAACTGGATGCCCCTAGCTTTCTGAGCGCGTTGAATGAGGCATTCGAGGACCCTTTCCTGAATGACTCCACTGACCAACACATGAATGGCTCTAAGGGAGACATGCCGGAAGAACAGATTTTTGGACAGACCATAAACCGGCAATATGTTTTGTCTATCTTGCTGGATGTCATGAATCCTAACGACTTTGCCCCTGAGGATACCATCTACCTCGACATGTTTATTGCGCGGAACCTTCCAAAGTTTCCTCAGTACCTTCTCTTCTCAGGCACAACACTGTCGCGGGTTTTGACTGGTTTGTGTAATTATCCCGGCCTTGACTTGGCTGAGGATGCACAGCTCAGTGCTGAATATTTACTCTCTGTCTATCACCCGTCAGATATGCCTGACTTGATGCCGTTGTTCAAGAAGGCAGGGTTTTACCGTATTCTGAAGCGCATATACAAAACGGATAAGCAATATGGAAGTCTTGTGCAGACGTATTTTGAGGACCCGGAAGACCAAGAGCTGGTTTTCGACTGCCTCCGCGAATGTCTGCGGCCTCAGACAGGGCTGACTGGGCGTCAGATTCAAGAAGTGCTCACCGTTGTTAAGGAACATGCACGAAGACTACTTGAGCTTGATGCCGCGTTGACTGCAAAAACTCTCGCAGAGCAAGGCTTGGAGCTGCATCAGCACGTTATCGACTCTGCAGAGGATGCACCAGACCTGCAGCACACATATCTCAAAACATTACTGGAGCCAGAGGAGCCAACAGTCCATCGTGAGTTGGTGGCCGCTCGTGACTTGGTCGAACGTTATGTGCAGCTCATGTGCAAATATGAGCCGTCTCACGTCTCTGATTACGTTGGCCTTGTGCAGTCAACTGACTTGAGGCTTGAAAAGCTGTTGCCCACGATGGAGGAGACTGGTGTGATTAATGCCGCCGTTGTGTTGATGGCTCGGGAAGGCCAAGTCAAGGACGCTATGGAACGACTTGTCAAGCATCTCGAGACCTTGGAGTCGGCAATGCATGGACTATTGACGGGTGCTGAGGAACAGCATTCGGGACCAAGTCTCGGGTACGCCGCGGAGGATCTCCTCGAAGCTCTTCAGAAATATGTTCATGTTGGCATATGGTTATGTCAAGGCCAGACCAAATCTTCGACTAAGAAGTCAAAGTTGGTCCAGAAGACTCCAAAATCGGCAACTGAGGCACTGTCACCTGACGAGGCTCTTTGGCTGAGTCTCATCGATGCGTGCGTGCAAATCACCAAGAAACTGTCCCCTGCTCTCAGCACTGCTGCTGAGCAGAATATCAGTGACGACGAGTTTGATGAGGAGAAGCTAGTGGCTCTTCTTCGCTCGCTGGTTCAGCACACATTCACGGCGCTACTTACAACGACATCCAGCCAGACGGCATCTCAGTCGGGGTCGAAGCTGCTATCAAATGCCGGTTCCAACCTGTCTTTCCTTCGCATTCTTAGGGCGTTCTTGACACGAGCGGCTGCGTCATCGCCAAATTTGGCAGATCTGCGAGGTGTACTGGCGTCCATCTTCTCGGCGTATGCATACGAGGAGTCAATCCTTAAACTATCGAATCGTCTGTTGGAGCGCAGTCTGTTCGTCAACGTCAAACAGTCAGTCGAGCTTCGTCAACGAGGATGGCGACCAAGAGGATCAACGTGTGAAGCATGCAGCCGAAGAGTTTGGGGACCCGGAGTTGCTGGAACAGCAGTTTTCGAGGCGTGGGAGGATAAGCAAACCATTGAAGAAAAGAGAAGGAAAGAAAGGCAAGCCAACGCAGCGGAGCGTGCTAAAGGTGATGATGGCGAAACGGATCTCAGGGCTAAGGGTAAGGGAGTCGACACGAGACCGTCGAGCATGCTCATCGAGACCAACGCCAACAGTGGCGTGAGCAGTAATAAGGACAAGCCTATGGGGCCTTTGGTGGTGTTGGCTTGTCGGCACATTTATCACCAGAGCTGTCTAGATGAATTGCAGGAAAGGCAGCAGAATGGGGTGGTAAGTGTTGTTGAGAGAGAGTATAGATGCCCTATTGATGGCTGAGACTAAAGTTTTTTTTTTTCTTTTCAAGAGAAGGCTCTTTTGTACAAAGTGTATGACATAGTTAGATATTAAAGATGTGTATTAATGATGATGACTCTTGGATATAGCTTAATCAGAGTGAGGGTTGTCTCATGATAGGCATGGGTACTTGGTATCACCTCGATGAGACAGTGGAAGGAATCAGATCTAATGAAATAAATAATCCAGATCATAAACTATGTTCTCAATAATTGTTTTGTTATTGCTCTTTTCCCTTCAATTACTTCATGATTCTGAAGGTGGTGCAGATAAGCTTTCTGGAAGCTTGAACGTGCTAGACGAGGCACTAGAACACCCCGTTGTAGCGGGTACCTGGCCTAAACTCAACTGAGCGACGCCGTCACATTGCCTTGAACCTCAACTTCTGACACCTCAAACTAGACTCTTCATACAGAAACACACAACACACAATCAGCATGTCACTCAGCTCAGATGAAGAGGATGATATCCTCTCAGACGCTCAATCAGCAAGTTCATCCGGAGAAGACGAGGATTCTCCCCCACGACAATTGTCGCAGAATCTGTTTGCGCCTCCATTTTATGGGCGACCTCCCACGCCTTTGCCCCCTTCACCCTCACTCACATCTCTTCTACGCCCTTCACGACCAACAACACCAGATGCATCTGACGACGATGCAATCGCACCTGTACCTCGCGCCGCGCCAAAGGTGCCGACTTACGAGTATTACGGCTTCGTGCTGTATCTCTTCAGTAGTCTGACATTTCTCATTTACCTGCTCTGGGGCTATCTCCCTTCACCATTTCTGCACGCCCTGGGGATATACTACTACCCCAACCGATGGTGGGCGCTCGCCATACCGGCTTTTATCGTCATGACTGTGGTGTACATCTACGTGGCCCTTGCGGCGTTTAATACGGAGATGTTGACAGTGCCGCTATCGAGTGTTGAGACTGTTGTTGATGGGGCGGGAAAGTTGGCGGAGATTGATGCAAAGGGGAGATTGAGGGGAAGTCGGAATAGGGAGAGAAAGGTGCATGGAGATGGGAGATTGAGATGGAGGGAAATTTGGAGTGAGGGAACGGATGCGGTGATGGATATTCCGCTGGCGGGTGTTTGTGAGGTTTTGTATGGAGAGGGAAGAGAGGATGGTGAAGATGAATATGTGGATGATGAGATTTGATAATGTTTGTTTAAAGTATGACTAGAACAGTAACCTCCATATTCTGGTTGTAAATGTCTTCAACGTCCAACTACTATTCTCATCATATCCCAGATCAAACAATAGTATAACAGCAAAAATGAACACCAAAAGTGGTAATGACACACTGAAAAAGACCCCAAAGTTCTTCTCGCCAGGTAAATACCGCTCAGACATACTGAACAAACTCGTAGAGAATGACAACGGAATAAAAATGAGCGCGACAATAGTAAACGTCTTGATGGTCTTTGCTTCACGGATGGACCTTGCAGCTCCATTAATACCTGTCACTCCAGTAAGCGACTCACTCAGAAATTCTGCTCTTTGTCTGAGAGATTGCAATCGCATATAAATGTACTGAAAATCTGACTCGCTTTCTGTCCACTGTGCGTAATCGGTCGGTACTACGGGGTCGTCAAATTTGATGTGTAACTGTAGCATTATCTGTGAAACATCCTTGATATATCTGCTGAGTCGGCTGCATAAAAGTTGGATATTGCTCCATGATGCTTCGAGAGATGTTGTCTGAACAGATGCAAAATTGTCTTTTCGCTGTAAAGGAAATGCCATTGTCGATAGAAGCGCATCGTGGTATTCGATCAAAAGCATGTAATGAGACGCGATGATCTTCCTCATAAAAACAGTGATATCTAGTAGGGCTGCTTGTCTGGCGGACATGTCATTGTAGCATTCGGTGTAGTAGTGAAGCAAGTCGTCATACAGACATTCTCGTGAAGGACCTGAAGTTCTGCTCCGTACAGTCCAGGGACTGGGTATAAAATCTGCATATCCGCCTTGAAACGGAGGTGCTGAAAATTCTATAGTCTTGAGTGACCATGTCTCAGATTTTGGCTGTGGTTTTTGCCATATGTGAGCTTTTCGAAAGGGTGGATCGCAGAGGATTAAGACTACAGAAAATCAATTTGACTATACTTATTGGACTATGATAACAGTAACTTACCGCTCCAGTCGTTTTCATCAGAAAATGTCGTTTTCCAGAATGAGCATTTTCGATGAAGAATAACCGTAGGCTCCCAATCCTTGCCGAGCTTGGTCCTTAGAGCGTCTCTTCCAGATTCTGCACATCCCACGCTGAACGACCCGAATTCTTCACCAAGAGCTCGAATGTCATAGTAGCTTGCAGTAAATGATCGGTTCCCGTCAATGAGTGAAGGTAAGCATGGTGCTAGATTGGGCTCATAAGGCCATCGTAGATATGTCGATGTTCTCTCATGAGTGACAAAGAACATAGGGTCTACTTTGAGTTCGTCACCCAAAAGTGCTATGACTTCTGTGTTTAAGCCCTCGACGAGATAGATCATTTGACGGCTTTGGCCATCTTGGCGCAGTTTTCGCAGTTGGGAGAAATGACTTCTCAGTTGTGTAACATGAGGGAATTCTGTTGGCGACAGCATTTTGCCTTCACTATTCAACTCGAGAACTGTCGCTCGAACATGCTGTCTGTCGCACAGCATAATAGCACGATTCCGTCCATCGGGTAACTCGAGATTAGGCTGTCGACTACAGCTCTGCTCGATGTAAGTGAGATATGGTCCATCGGCGGATAACCAGCTGCCATTGTCATCTTTTGTTCGGGGCGTGGATCGAGCTTCGGGTGCTTCTATTATGGGGCATTTTATAGACATGTTGTATGTACCGCGTTTGTGTTAAAAATGAGAATATCTCAAGGCTGGGATAATGATGTTAGTATATATAGCTGCGGCTGAATGGATATGCAGTATGACTAAGAACTGTGAGCTGAAAGTGAAGAGAGCTCTGACTGGCTACTACAGATGATGACCAAGTCTTCAAATAACTAGGACTCGCTTGTATTGGTTTATGATGATCAAGGATTGGAGCATATGCAATAGATATCTTCTTAGGCCTCAGTTGATGCAGACTGCCTACCCTAGAGATAGATGAAGATGGCATGGCGAAGTCTGCACTAACCATTTGACTCGTTCAAAGAAGGGAGTTAACTTGTGTTTTCCGTGTACTGAACGAAGAAGGGAAAGCTATGAAAACATTTCCCAAAAGTTATCAGACGAAGGCTATGATAACATTTTTTAAATGTCATTAGAAGAAGTTTACTATGTAAGTTATATTGCTGTTTTATCCACCTCATCCACCAGTATACCGCTCACTAACACGTACGAATAGATGTGGCAGCGCGACCTTCCGTGCTATTCTTACTGTGCCATATTATTCCCGCGTAGCTGAGGACACAGATACTTCAGATGACATGCCTATTATAGAACAAGGGTTGAGCTGATGTACCGTTCAACTGAAGGTACCGTCTGGTAGTGGTTCGCCCCCCAGAGCTGCAGTCTCTGATCCAAGTACCTGGGAAGCACCTTGTGTTTCATGACCAGGGCGAAAGAGATGAATTGTTTGGCACGGGCCAGATAAGACCTTGCGTTTGCATGTGCAGCGTTAAGGAGACAGGAAATACAAGTCCGAATAGCATCTTGTTGCTATGGAGGGTTGCTGGGAGACCTATGATTGAAGAGCTTGGACGGAGCGCAACAATGTTATCTTCTCTTCAATAACAAGATGACGCAGGGGAGAGTATCAACCCCAGAGTTCGGTGATTACCCTTTTCAGATACCGTCGCCTTGCAGTCGGTACTCACTGCTCACAAGAACGATGCAACCTGCCAGACTCTACCTCATGTTTAAACTACTATTGCGGAGCTTGCTAGGGAAGAGCCGAGTTTCCTTAGCTCTAGACACTTTTGACAGCTGTCTAAAATTAGATAGTCAGCCTTATGAGCTGGGAGTTCTGGAGATTCACGCCTCGCTATGACCCATTACGACAACGAAGAGACACGATGGTGTTATGTTTCAGAATGATCTGACTTGAAGAGTTTTCACAAGAAGAGATGGTCTGTGACTGTAGGGATAGGACAAAGTGTAGATCTCACCTCTTGTCAACGCCCAAAACAGTTTACCCCTTTATCCTCGCTCTGACACGTCAACGAGGAAAAAGCAAAATAGACCTGTCAAACACATATCATAAGACAAAAGACGGTGAGCTCATCATGGTGCCCGCAAGAGGGACAGCTTAGCCAGCTGTCAAGGCGGCAAGGCGGCAAGATTGGTACCTCCTTTGGGACGAGCTGAAACATTTCCAGATATAGCAATTAATCCCAGTAAGTTTCTAGAGTCTTCTCATTGAAGTTACTGCCCTAAGTAATTTAGCAGACTAAGACTCTTAGTAACCCCCTGTCAGGCCGGCTTATATAGAGGCCATAGGTGTGGTAACAGGACCAATAGTATGGCATCAGGAAGGGGGGAAAAGAGAAAAGATGCTTTAGGAGAGCGCCCTCATCTTGTTTTGGTGGAGTGGAGTCTGTACATTTTATCAAATGACCCCTGCTGCGGTTTGTGTATATGCATGTTGGCCGTTGGTTCTGTGAACAGGGCGACAGCCTGGTTGGACAGAACAAGTAACAAAATGTACCTTCATATTTTCTGCTCACTGTGTAAGAGATAAAAATGATTGTAGTTAAACGATTAAAACAGTTTAAACATTGTGAGTAATTTGAGTTGATTGTTGAGAAGTTGATCTTTCAATATGATGAGATTGAGAATGGGTTTATCGAGCGACTGACACTCAGCGAAAACGAGCCACACAATAGGTACAAGCCAAGTACTTGTTGACTAGGAGAAAATCCTTGAGATCTCCTTGAGACTGAACGCAAATTTATCGCGAATCTGCCTTATTACGTGTGCAGATGGTTCGCGGAGGCCCCCTATCCTTCCGCGGTCTGCTTGCGCCAGAGTTCAAGCATAAGCTCATTACAGATCTCAACTGGCATTCACTCAGGACAAAAGCTTAGTAATTACCTCAAATGAATCGGTAGGATCTTTACTGAATGCACAAGTTGTTCTAGGCGTGTTCCAGTCCCTAATACGGCAATCTCTCAGTCAGTCCATTAGGCAAGATTCGTCCCCAACCTGAAAAGCGACCGACTTACACATAAAAGGATGCACACGTTTGCCTCAAAGATGTATATCTCTGTTGACAACACTATGGAACCAGTCGAAGCTCAGGGAAGCCCCCCTAAAGTCCTTGACAGACTCTTCAAAACTACAAAAACCTCCACTATCCCCCATCTCACAGAGCTTCGCAAGGCTCTTGGCTACGGCAACCCAGGCCTAGACCAGGACATCGCCTTCAAGAGGGCTGTTCGAACCCAGATCGAATCTTTTACATCTCCTAGCACCAACCTACCTGCATATAGATTCACAAAGTGGAGGTTGCCTCTTCACCAAAGAGGTCTCCAAGAGGTCACCAAAGACTTCCTCGATACCAAGGGCAAGGGGCCTGAGTTCTGGCCTGCAAGGCATAACTCTGTCAACACAAGGTGTCTTGAGTATTATAAAGACTCTTCTCGGTAAGTGCTCGAATCCAGATGGACTAAACACACAGTTTCCCTGTGACATGAGCTAACACTGGCTCAAACAGAATACGCCGTCTCATGATTAAAGTCTTTTGGCGTGCAGCACAAGAGTACAAGCGACACAAGCCCTCAAATTCTGCCACTACCAAGCTGCTACTACAGCCCAGCGACAGAAACACTTCGCCATTAGAGCCCCTTGACACACCGAGTGACGACAAACGCCAAGTTCTCAAGAACAACTTTCACATACTCAAAGGCCAGAGTATCGACAACCCCATAGATGTTGAGAGCATGCAGTCCACAACGAACACACCAGGGCCGTCCACGTAAGAACATCTCCATCGCATCAGAAGTACGACTTTCTGACATGGTCCCAAGAGACGACCACTTTGCAGCCTTTGGAATGTCCGTTAGATTTTCTGTCCTTACACAACAACGACAAGATACGCCAGAGGAAAGCTCGAGTTCCGAGCCTCTTTCGTCTTCCCTTTTAGTCCCCGACACAGCCGAAACTATGATGCCTATTCCTGAAGAAGCAGAGAGTACGTACAGTACAGACCCGTACGAAGTGCCCAAAAGCCCGCCGAGGGCCACTGAAACTGTTAGTATCTTCTATCAAGTTCATCGTATCCAGACTAAATGTTTTCAAAGGCACAGGATAATGGTAAGCGTCCGGTCGAGTCAGACTCCAATGATAGCAACCATCAAGCCAAAGTCCCCAGACAAGGTTCGAGTACATCTGTGAAACCGACACGTCAGCCTCCAAAGAGCACTCGGGATGGCAGAAAGACCCAGAGTCTCCCCCCTCAAGTCCGAAGCTCTCGAAGACAGAGTAAGCTAGTCCGCCGACAGGATGCTGCTGCAGAAGAACAGATTCAAGCTACCGAGAATCCAACTCCAACTCCATCACCTCCCCCAGCTGCAATTGTAACTCAGCGTGGAAGTAATGCGAACCAAGGCAAACTGCCCTCAGCCAACACTGATGGTTCCACTTCCAAGACTCCGGCAGGGGAAGCACAAGGCCAGTCTTCAACCGCAGCCGTCAGAGCAGAGGTAGCTCGCCAGGCTGCAAGGCAGACTACAGAGGCAGCCATAGCAGCGGGTGTAGACCAGCAACTAGACACCCACAGCACTTCTACAACTGGCCTCTCCGCTAAAGCTCAAGGAAAGCTACCTGCTGTCCCGACCAGACAGACCCCAGCGGTCCAAGCTGGGCCCAGCCGGGAGCGGGAGCGGGAGTCTACAGCGAGACCAGAGGCCAGTGCTGCGAGACAAGAAGGCAGCAATTCTGGGAACCCAGAGCCTGAAGACATACAGCAACAAGTATTGAATGGACGTGAAACAGTCATCAGATCCAACATCGCTAATGGCGTTGACTTCAGGTCTTGGAGACCTTCATCTCCCCTCTTCCACATGTCTCTTGCAAGTGTGGCCTGGGAGTTGGGTTTGAGGCCCGGCCGAGCCCTTCATATGTCTCTCAGAGGTCGAATAACCAACTTGAATGAAGAATTCGAGAACGGCCAAGAGAAAAAGTTTGAATCCTTCAAAGATGAGTGTTTGGACGTTATTACCCAGCAACATTCTGGTGCTGCATCTACTCCAGGATCGCAGCGACGACAGTTGAAGATTTACTTTTCGGATAAGCCTATTTCGGTGGACGTGTAACTTGCAGTTGGGCTTCGGTGCAAAATTGTTTTCTTCTTTCTTTGTGTTTTTATGGTATTGTATTTTTCTCCTTGAGGAATTGGCGGATTCATGACTTTTAATGGCTAGACGGGTATGGAAGTGTTAACGGGTTTCTATTCTATGGTTTTTTTTTTTTTTTTCTTATCAAGTACCAGACACTATAACAACAGATTTGTATACCATATAAACTGACTAAAGTGAGTAGTGCCTGTAGATCTAGGCTACTACCTACACTTATTCGACTAATAGTGCTATTTAGCAAAGTGTCAGATCTTTCTGCATTAATAGGCCAATCGGCTGATTAAAAATGCCTAGTGTGGACCCATAGGCACTACTTAATTTAGTCAGTTTATACGGTAGTACCCTTAGTTTAGAGCAGCCGATAGAAAACGACTTTTGGGCCAGAGACCTGCTAAAGAATGTGATATAAGCAAGCGTTTCTCAGAGGTTGGGGGGACAGGTATTGGTTGAACCAAGATCAATACGATGCAGTTTTGCTTTTGGCGGGCTATCCGCTCAAATGTCGGTAAAGCGTTTGATACAGTGGAAATGGTGGCGAACAGTGGTTACACAATGCAGGCTGCCGTAGCCTCACAGGGGTAAATGGCCTTCTGTGAAGGACTGAGAGACAGGGAAATAACTTCGGATGTGCTTTTTGATGTTGGAGAGAAGAGAAAACTAAACGACAGCAAAATTGTGGCTGCAGAACAAGATGAGAGCGGACTGTGGTAACATGCCCGGGCAAGCAGGGGTAAAGCCCAGTGTGTGGTTTATCTTTAAACAATAATGTAATATTACACAATGCAGTATCTGCACACCATAATATAACAATACTAGATTATTATTTATTACAATAATAATTAGAGTGCATTCATTTCCTGGGAAATCGGAAACACCTACATCCGTCGCCTGATCTACGACACCACCAGGCACAATAAGCGAGACATCAGCTAACAACCAACATCACAACGTGCATGACTAGTGTAATATTTCGTTACAACTTTTAGAAAAGGGCAAGATTTGGCCCCGGCATTACATTGCTTATCAGCAATGGCCCGCTGATCGTGCTGCAAGTGGCCGTAATGTGTGAAAAAACCACACTTCCACTGTAACATGATCCATGCTCGGAGGCTCTGACAGGGGTATCAAAATCTGGGGTTCTAATCTAAATACCCCGTTTTGCCGTCCGTTCTTTTAATCTTGCTCTGTAAATCCTTGAATTGCCCTCTATATCCAATCATGACCTCAATTAAGAAAGGAACCGCCCGTCGGTCTGGGCCTTTTCTATTTTCCTCACGCACGAGGACTACCAAGGACGTGCCTTCGGTGAAACACCTGCTCGGCGAGCTTGGGTTTGGCGATTCTGCAGATAAGACGCTACTCAATGAGTTCAACGTTGCTCGTAGAGTTCACATGAACAGTTTCTTACGAGAAAAGATAATCGACGAGAAAGATATATTGGAGTGGTCCGAGCCATGCAAGTACAAGCTTCGCAGGATGGTCAAGGACTTCCTTGTCAGACAAAACCAAGGTCCTCGTTTCTGGCCCGATGAGCCTTCTGCTGCAAACACCAAGAAGTACCGGTTCTCACAGGATTCCAAACAGTTAGTCTATCCTCCTAGTATTTTTTTGTGCTGTGTCTCGGATGAGTGACTGACAGTGGGTTGGTATTCTGTACAGGATCATTAAATTATTGATGATGCTGTTTTTTCGACAGCTATACAACAGAAGAGCACACGATATAAAGGTTCGCAAAGAAAAGAGGCGTACCAATCTCTTCGAGCGAGGGGGGGCGCCTGACGAGCCTATTGCCCTTGATCTGTCTAGCGATGAGTCTGATTACGAATACCAAGTATTTGATGCTCCAGCATCACCGATATCTGGTGAATCTGGCCTCAAGAGGTGAGCTATTGGTATCAACAAACGTGGTAGATATCTATGCTAATATGGCGGGTTTAGAGAGCCTTCCGACTCTCCAGAGTTGCCTTCACTCGAGGAGATTGGACCAACAGTACAGAGGCAAACTTCGCCTTCGAATACTGTCACACCGCTACAGAGTGTGGTTCAGGATGAGCATGTGCACCCTGAGCCAACTCATGCACCTAGCCAACCCTCAACAATAAGCGTAAGGCTTCTCTTAATCAATGCTAATGCCATTCCACTGACACCGAAGAGTCTGTGCTGCCAACCAAAAGGCCTCTATCACAATCCGAAGCGTCGCCGTTGCGCACAAAAAGCCCTCGCCCCAACGGTTTCCGTGGACTCACCGCCGATCCGTTCTCTCGAGATGCTAATGTTCGGCTTGAATCAGTCGCCCGAGCAGTTCCTCCCAGACAAGACCCTCGGAGGACAAATCGAAAATCTGTTCCTGCGCCTTTTGCTCCAATGGGTGAAGAGTCAGTGACGATTGACATCCAGGAGCTATCACCAGAGACAGAAAAGGGCACCACGGATGAGATCGTCTGTGGGTTCAAAACTGCGATACGAGTAGTTCCACCTACTGGAGAGGATAGCAGTACTCATGTTCCTGAAAATGGAACAGAGAAGACAGGTACAGACCAGCCTGTAAAGCTTGGATCTACCCCACTTTCTCAGAGAGATACTACTGCCATGTCTGGGGGAGACATTGAAGAGCCCAAGAGTATCTCATATGACACAGCTGCGGCCAGGCGCTTACTGAGCTCCCATCTCCGTGGTTACACTCAAGATACTCCTACTCCTATTCAATTCTCTTTTTCCTTTCATGATGGTGGCCACGGCGACCCCTTCAACATTTCAGCAGTCGACTTCTTCTCGATGACCCTCAAGCAATTTGTGGAAGTTCTACCCATGAGCCATAAAGAAATGATAACAGGGTTATGCATACGCCAATACGGTCCCAAGTTCTGTCTCCGGCAAGTTTATCTATACAACGAGGATGTTTTTGGGAACATTCGTGAGCAGTTTCTTCGTTGTATCGAGAGCGATACGCGGGATGTAAAAAATCACGGAAAGCGGCTGGACTATGAGATTAGTATTGAGCCGCTTAGAGAGTGATTTGAGAATACATTTACGTAAGAGATGGATTGATGAATGAAGTGGATAGAAGATTGACAAGTGTCAAAACTCTGGTGCTGGCCTCGAGTCCCTGAGATATTAGCAACATGCTCCATGACGCCGCAGCCGCAGCGCTGAAGATGTGAGAGCTTAAAGCGATGGAAACATGGTGCGGCAGATAGATGTGGCGATGCTCTTTCGCTACTATAGAGTTGAAGATGATGAGCCGGTCATCATCACAGTACGGGGAACATTCGACGTCGTTCTTGGGATTACAGCCACCCAAGCTTGGGATTCCGTCATTCGCGGCATGATCTGGATAAGGTCATGATACAACCCTCTTGGATCGGTCAAGATGCTATTGGAACCCACGGTGATGCGATCTGCCAGCTGGGACTTTCGACAGAAGCCATTAGAGCTGTCTCCACGGCAAATCTTCCACGAGAATAGATGTGCTCCAGCACATTCACCGTCAGCAAGAGCACGGGAGCCATGGCATTCGGCGTTGGAACAATCATGGGCCTTAACACAGCCATGAGTTCAAATAATATTACTATTACTATGCTAGAGAATTGATACATTGATAGAGTCTTAGTTTCAGCTGTGTCCAGCTGTCTCAGTCTATCTCTTCAGGGCACCATAGAAAGGTGCTCAGACGTGGCAAGGAAACATAAGACTTCAATCATAAGGAACAAAAAGACTTGGATAAGCTTTTAATAAGTTTAGGGGGCCTTTTGGCTAAGTATATGTATTCGTTATTCCATGGCGCCCTGGTTCAAAGACTGAGATATTCTTGTCCCCAAGGGCTGCTCAATATTAGTAATGGCTCTGTCGTGACATGAACAACTTGTGTGACCTTCTTTCCTTCGCAAACTTTGAAGCTCGACTCGAGGTGGCAGTAGCACCTCCCAAAGGACCAACTCGCCTCCATTGTCTTGAGATGCCTTATACCTCAAGGTAAGTACCATAGGTACACACTCCTGGCCCGCAGGTACATACTGAAGCTTTGCTATTAAAATCGTTTCTGAGTACCCAGCCTTCGTCCTTACATCACAAGACGATATTTTCTACAACACAAACAATCACTAGTAAGAGCAAGGCTACTTTCTTTTAATCATCATAAAGTACTCTTCGGAAGATACAGAGATCAAGCGCATATTCTCGAGACAACATCGCTAGGACAGTTTCAAGCCAAGCACCACCGCAAAACCATGGATAGTTCTTCTGACCCAAACCAAAACTTCATCAAAAGAAGCAAATCCTGTCCATGTCTTGCTCCCATCTCGAATGACCCCTTAAGGCACACTCTTCTCGAACAGGCAGATACCGCGGGAGATTCTGACATGGATAGCGGCTGTGGTATTGATCCAATTGTATGCCCAGCTCATTGAGCCATTGCAATTTTACTTCATTTGGCGCTAACTTATCTACTAATAGTCGGAAAAGAGCCCAAAAGGCCGCAAAGGATCTGACAGCCGCGATCAGTCATCGTCATTGTCTCGTGGTAGCACGGAAGAGGCACTCGACATGGCTTTGGATAATACTATCAATAAGGACGATCCAGCGGCACCTCACCCCAGTTCTTCATCCAACTCTACAGAAAGTAAAACTCCATTTACTGTTGGTGCCGTGAGTCACAAGGTAACTTCAGAGAGTGACCATGCCCAAGGTCAAGATCATCCTATCTCCTCTCCGATCGAAGCTTTGGACAGCAAGGCAGAACCACCAAAGATTACAGGGCAATCAATCTCGAATTCCCAAGTTGATCAGTTGAAATCGAATAATGCTCTAATCACAGAGAATATAGGAAGTCAAGATGGTCAGTCAGACCTTGGGGACAGTCCTGATTCCCCAATACCAGAGCCCATTGACGATGAAGTATGTCGTTCTGTTGAGGACAAAGGGTCTCCCTTCGAGTATCAGGAGCCAGCAATTGAAGACGCATTTGCTTTTTACGTACACGAAGATTATTACGGCCAATATCCAACTGCCAGTGCCCGCACATCCCCCAACTCTATTATCACAGCATGCGCAGCTGACCGCCTATTCGCTATCGACTACACAGTCTACCGTACCGATTAGAACTCGACGTTCCAATGGTGTCCATCACAAAGCTTCTTTAGCATGTCGCTTGAAGATATTCTAGAAGAGACACATTTCGAAAAACATAGCGGTGTAGCTATCTCCCTCGAGTGTACTGTTGGAGGAGAAGATTTGGCATATCGACGGACAGCTCGTACTGAGCAGAGATTTGATGTGCTAAAGCAGAGATTCAGAAGACTTATTGAGGAATTGACAAATAAAACTCTACGCAATGGGGATGGAGATCCGACTTTCGAGATGATTATTGAAAGCCTTGGTCCAAGGCGTTGGGCCACTTAGGTTGATGTGTGATCATCGGTCTTCAGTCCCAGGTTCTCGAGAGCTGGGGTTTAGAGACGGCTATGAGTATTAAAGTTAAAGCGTGGTTTGACATAAAGGTCTCAAGAAGCTTATATTAGTGAAATTAAGGATAAAGCGTTGTTTGTCACATGATAAAAGCCTTCTTGTTTACCTCATATTGTGTAAACAGCACCATAGGTCATCCCCTCTGTCGTTGCCATAAAGGTGAGAGAGTCAACTAAAAGAATGACAAAAGATTTTACATAGCAACTTTATGCGGAAGTAACCTGTTATTCATATTTATGATGTAGCTCCTTTAGGCACGAATCACCAACCAATACTCCATTCATCATTAACGCCGATCCATTTCATGCAATCATGCAACCATCCAAATCATCAATCCGTTTAACCAGCAAACATACTAGTAAGCTCCCAATCTCCACTAGCAAGTTGCCTCCAGGAGCTCGAGCATGTAGCTTGAACGGTCTGCATACCAAAGTTGCCATCTCCTTGGTCAAGTTGGCGGAATAGGGTGACCTTGTAGCCAATGGCAGCAGCCATGAGGCCAATCTCGACGGGCTGGGGGTCGTGCATCTTATAGGCGAGCCACTCCTCACAGTGCTTGATCTCTTCCTCTAGAGAGGGATCAGAGTCAGCAGTGCGGGGGACTGGGTCGCCGAAGAGGAAGCGGTTTGACATGACGGCGTCCTTGGCGATGTACTTGAGAGCAGTCTTGGGCTTGTCGCAGAGGGCACGCCAGAGAAGAGTCTCCATCTCCTTGACGGCAGAGAGGTTACGGCCCTTGATGGTCTTGAGGTTCTCCTCATCTGATTCCTCATCTGCGTCGTGCTCCTTTTGCTTGCCACCGCCGTTGAAGAAGTCGGAGCCTTCGATGCCGGAAACAATGCTACCATTTTGTTGGCGCGGGGTAAGCTCCATGCCTCTTTGGCTAGAGGGGCCACCGAATTTGCTCTCTTCAGCGTTAAGCCCATGAGGCGAGCGATCGTTGGTGAGACCAAGCATAGTCGGCATGATGGCGGCTGTCTGTGTTGTAGTGATATGTACTGATTTGAAGATCTGATCTGCTTTTAGATGCAAGAGTGACAATGCAGGTCAAAATGAAAATGGGGAATGCAAGACATGAAATACAGAAAAGAAGCAGAAATACTTGTGAGTTCCAAATCCTGATTGCTGGCTATCCCGGCAGCTAGAGTGACGTCAACCTTGGGATGCATCTTGCTCATGCTTGCAGCAAAAAAGTTGGATAAGATTATGACGGAGATCGACACTAATCGATCATGTTTTACTGTACAGACTAAGCATTTCATTGGATGAGATGATCCCCCATAAAGCATCATCCATGAGCGTTCCTGATGCTCAAAAAGTGTGCAGTTGCTAACAAATTCCTATCGCATCTCGGGTCGGGGATTTACTGAACCATAGCGCCCACTAACACTAACGTACGGTAACTTTTAGCGGATCTCAACGGTTGTGGCGGTGCTCCGACTGTGGCTGCTGTCATCCACCAGCCACTTCTGGTCTCCCCACCCCCCACTATCCGCTATGATTTCCGTCAAGCCAACATGGATCCACCAAAATTTCTGAATCCAATTCTCAGTTGTTAGCACTTTTCTTCACATTCGATCTCCAACCCAAGCTCGCTGCTCAACCACGCATTGTAGCGCACTCCCTTCACCATGGATATCCTCAAGGTTCTATCCCGTGGAACCAAAAAGACCCAGAGGAACAGCCAAAACTCCAGCAATGCTCAGCAGAAGCTTCCCTCTGCTGGTACATCTACAAACCCACAGCTCTACCATGATCAGGTCCGGGGCCAGAAGCGAAAGCGAACAAAGAATGAGCCCGAACCCGAAGCTCACGATGAGCTCCCCGAAGTCGACTTCTTTGCCCCCAAGCCAGAGCCTGTAGCCAAGGCAGCTGTTAAGACAGAGGAGCCCGTTCAAGTGCCGAAACCTACACGGCCGTCTCGATTGTTGAGTGAAGACGAGTGTCGCCAGCTGCTACGATCGCATCGACTAAAAATTACGCTCCTCTCAAAAACAGAGGATCAGTCCAAGGTCAAGAAGAGCAAGAAAAAGAAGAAGGCGGCCGTCGAAGTGAAGAAGGATGGAAAGAAGCAGCTTTTCCCACAGCCTTTGGACTCTTTTGGCGAGCTGCGCAATGCCTACGGTCTTTCAAACAAGGTCGCCGACAACCTTGTGTTCCAAGGATACCGGGTTCCTACCGAAGTTCAGATGGGCAGTCTGCCTCTTCTCGTACACCCTCAGGCTGCCCTGAAAGACGAAGATGGACTGGAAGCAGGAGTTGATTTCCTCGCAATCGCTCCTACAGGAAGCGGAAAGACTATTAGTTTCTTGATTCCCGCTATCAACAACATCCTGCGCAGGCGCTCGCAGCAAAACCTCAGCGATATTCACGAACTCGAGGCGGTTATTGTTGCACCAACCCGGGAATTGGTACACCAAATCGTCAGTGAAGGACAGAAGCTTGCTCAAGGAACAGGACTTAAGGTCGTTTCGATGAAGAAGCACACCCAACTTTCAGCCAAGCAAGTGGATATGGCAGAAGATGGTTCTGAAGATGAAGAAGACAAAGAGTCCGATTCTGAGGACGAAGATGAGAACAAAGCAGACGACAAGCCCAAGCAAATCACAAAGGCTGACATTCTGGTCACCACACCCTTCCTGCTACTAAAGTTTCTCACTTCGGGGCCACCCAGCACACAAAAGGTTCTGCCTACTGTGAGAGACTTAATATTGGACGAGGCGGATGTTTTGCTTGATCCTCTTTTCCGAGAAGCCATGATGGCTGACTGGACAGCGTGCACAAACCCCGACCTGAGGGTGTCATTTTGGTCTGCTACCATGGGATCAAACATTGAGTCCATGGTTACAGAGAAGTTGACTTCGAGGGCACAGTCGCTGGATGTCACACCGAAGCCCTTTGTACGACTAGTCGTCGGCCTCAAGGACACAGCTGTGCCAAACATTGCTCACAAGCTTATCTACACTGCGACTGAGCAGGGTAAACTACTCGCATTGCGCCAGCTACTACACCCTACGGCCGCTGATGATTCGGGTCCTCCTCTGCGACCTCCCTTCTTGGTCTTTACACAAACCATTGACCGAGCGAGTGCTTTGCACGAGGAACTACAATACGACATTCCTCTTGAAGCTGGTGGTGCATCAAGAATTGCTGCCCTTCACAGTGGTCTCACCGACTCTGCTCGATCTGCCATCATGCGCAAGTTCCGCGCTGGAGACATCTGGGTCCTGATCACAACAGACGTGCTGGCCCGAGGTGTAGACTTTGCTGGTGTCAACGGTGTTGTCAACTATGATGTCCCCGGCTCCAGCGCCGGTTACGTCCACCGTGCAGGACGAACCGGCCGAGCAGGTCGCGAAGGTGGCGTGGCAGTCACGTTCTACACCAAGGAGGACATTCCCTTCGTCAAGATGGTCGCAAATGTTATCGCTGTAAGCGAGAAGCAGGCTGGCAAAACAGGAGATGAGGCTGGGGTGCAAAAGTGGCTCCTAGATGCTCTGCCTAATGTCGGCAAGGCAGACCGCAAGAAGCTCAAGGAGCGAGGTGTGGAAGCGCGACGAAGTGGAAATAAGGCCAAGATCACGTCTAAGAGTGGCTATGAGAGACGGAAGGAGAACAACCGCCGTGGTGCTATCGAGGGTAGCAAGAAGAGGAAATTACAAGCGAATGAGGACAGCGGTGATGATGGAGAATGGGGTGGTTTCGATGACTAGGGACAATGACTCTGGTCTGGATAAATTTGCATATGGAAAAGCATGATCATTTACGGATATAGAGCGATGGCATCTTCAGGTCTGAAGATCATAAAAGCAAAAAGCCTTAGGCTTGCAAGTCAAGTTTGAAGGCTCAGTTTTACATGTAGCTAGTTCCGCATCAGGCATAAAATGTCTCAAAATAATGTGATAGAGAGAAATTTTCTCATGGAACTCCCGCCTTTTTCATGAATGTATTGACGGAAACGCACAATCTCATTACTGAAAAGGACCGAAATATCCAACATGGCGCATTAACTTGCCGAGTACTGATGAGTTGTTTAGCATAGGCGTGGCTTAACTGAGGCCATACAGATCCAATGAGACGCGATTCAACAGCGAGTAAGTTGATATCAGCTAGGGCTCAAACTAATGCCTTCTTGTTTAACAAAGAACTGCATCTGAACAGTTTTGCTACTAACTCAACAATTGTATCCAAAAAACTGACTGACGTCTTTCAGCATTGTTCATGTGAAATAGTGATAGACTCATCTCCACTATTTAAATGTGACATAACAATCGCCCATATTTGAGGGGGCTGGAGATGTACTAAAAAGAATACCTCGAGTCAAGCAGCACGTGGACATTCCAGAGACCGACTTTCTTCTTCAACAAAAGCATTCTCATCATCCTCATTGTTCATGGTGACGATTACGAGTCAAAAATAAATTAGGGGACACACGCCAAGAGAAGCCAAGATTAGACAAGCGTTGGCCTTTCTTGGTGTTGCAGGGGAATTGACCACACCCACTTTCTACTACCAGCCTTTTTTGTTTCGATTAATGTTGATCATTTGTTAGTTGATGCCCTGAACTATGACTTGGTTGTGTGATATTCGTTGATATCCATGAGGCCATCACTTGTATCACACAGACTTGTTGTCACGATGGAAACTCGCTGAGTAGAGACAACTGTTGCATGAGAAATGTAATTTCATATGGCGTCTCGGCGTCTAATCAAGCATCTTGGCCCTACAGCCCAAAACAAGAGACCGGCCCAAAGCCAAGACCGCTGCGCCATCATCCACACGCCAAAGCGTGGCTCTTTGTGATGCCCTCAACTTCCCAAAGCAGCATGGCCAGGCCGTTCCCTTTATTAACCACTCTCAATAAGTCATCTGACGCCTGTAATTGGCCAAGGCTCTAGAGTCCCCTCGTAGCCTGAAACAAATACACCACCAACCTATCTTGGCCATCTTTGTACTGCACTATTAGCTAGTAGCCAGGCTTGGTTGTGCCAGGACCAGAATTGAGATCTGCTGCCCAGACTTGAAGGAGACGCTGGGCTCTTTTACCCCTTTGAGTCCTGCAGCAGAGTAGTAGTTGTGTTACTTGGATCCTCTTTAATATCACCATCTCCCCACAGAAGGATGGAAATCCTCCTCTTCCTTTGAGTTCCTCCTAGAGGTTGGTACTGAAACATATCAGTCCTTCATTTTCGGCATTTCTTGCTTTTTGAACTATACACTCTTTTGTCTTTACTTCTAGTCACTCCTTAAAATCTGTTGGAATCTCTGCTGTCTTTCGAGTCCACTCTTTGAAGACATTCACCGAAACACTCCTTGCAATTGTCTATCTTGACGATCTCAACAATTCGAGAATAAGCCTCAAAATATCTGTAGTCACTCGGACTGAATAGATTAGGGGCTTGCCACCATGAAGGTCACTAATCTTTCTATTCTGGCCTACACTGGCCTCGCCTCGGCCCTTACGCAGCAATGCTCTGGCAGCGCCGTCAACGAAGGCGGAAACTGGTTCTGCGGCGTTATTGATCAGATTCTTTATGAGGGATTCTCCAGCAGTGGAAGCTTCAAGGCTGTTACGAAAATGGGAGATGATGGATCTTGTGATCAGGAGCCCGTTTCTTATGATGGTGCTCTCGGACCTCTGAGTGAGGATGTAAGTTGGCCGTCACTCAACTATAACACAGCATAAAATAACAAAACATAGCTGTCTGTCCACATTCGAGGACCCTTCAACCTCAAAGAGTTCGCAGTCTATAACCTCGGCTCCAACGAGAAGAAGCGCGACTCTGCTCCCTCTCCTCACCTCCACGGCCATCGCCATTTTCACGAACAGCGCAAGAAGAAGCGTGGGGACTGGGTCACAGCCACTATCGACGGACAAGTCGTATCCTGGGAGAACACCTATAACGGAAGCCCTGCTACTCAAGCTGCCCCCGTTGATATTCCTGCTGCCCCTACCGACGCTGTGAAGAACGTCGTCGATGAGAAGAAGCCATTGAAACTGAAGGCTGATCCCTTGCCTGGACTGGACAAGATCAAGAGCAAGGTTGACAAGGTCAAGAGCAAGGCTACCTCAAAGTCAAAGGAATACACTGCTACTCCTGGTGGACACTGGAAGCGTACTGCTTACTACAACGCCCAGCGACGTGTAGCTGATAATGTTATCTTCATGGGTAACTATGGTGGTGAGGGCTCTGGAGTCTTTGACAAGTGAGTTTCTGTACACTCTTTAATATGCCTTTATACTGACTGAGTATAGCACCTGGGGTAACTCCCTGTCTTACCTCAACGCCAACGGAAACGGTGGCTCCTCTTCTCCCAAGATTCTGAAGGACGTGTTCATCCCTTCCAACAAAGAATTCTCCATCTTCAGCTCTGAAAAGTGTGACGAGAGCTGCGGTTACTCTCGTGTCCCTGATGTTGCCTACAGTATGTTATCTCTCCAACCTATATATCACACTCACTAACCCCCTCACAGAGGGCTTCTCCGGCTCAAACAAGATCTTCCTCTTCAACTTCAGGATGCCCTTCGATGGCAACACCGGCTTCAACGGCGACATGCCCGCCCTCTGGGCTCTCAACGGCCGCATTCCCCGAACTGGCCAGTACAGCGGATGCAGCTGCTGGAAGACAGGCTGTGGTGAGGTCGACATCTACGAGGTTCTCGCTACTGGCGATGATAAGTGCAAGAGCACATTCCACTTGACAAACGGCGCTGGAAGCTCTGATTACTTCAAGCGTCCTGCCGATAAGTACATCAAGGTTGCCGTTGTGTTCTGTGAGCGTACGTCGAGCGTCGCTATCAAGCAGTTGGATGATAGCTTTGACTTTGGATCATCTTTGAGTGATGAGACTGTGAGGGACTGGATCAAGACCATGTCTTCTCCTAAGAAGGGAAGCAGCCTGTTCCAGCTGTCTATTTCTGTGTGAAAGTGAGAGACCTGAGTTGGATATGTTTGCTGTTGGCTTGACTTGGATGTTTGATATCTATTCTTTTGTACATATATATTAAGATACCAGTTAAGAATTGTTCCATAACTGGTCCAACATAAAACCACTTGTGTTGCCATCTTATCATTCTTGCTAAGTCTAGATAGGTAGTCTAGATGAAGGTGATATATCATCTATTGTTCTATACAACTGTCTAGGGTATAGCCACTGTTACAGTATTATACAATCCCGTCATTCATACATCATCGTGATGATTAGGGTCTACTAATCGTTGAGTCTTTCAGACTTATGAGCTCTCGGAACTCGCCTTTGTATCTTCTTCAGGTATCTTCTCTTCTTCAGAGCTTGTTTTGTTCTCCTCTGCTGCTGAAAGTCCAACAACATTTCTTATCGTGCCAAAGCTTAGGCAGTCACTGATACGGTTGGCGCCCGAGAACAGCATGACCATACGCTCAACACCACATCCCCAGCCGCCAGTAGGGGGCAGGCCATAGTCGAGAGCCTTAACATAACTTTGATCCAGGGGAGCAGCGTCGCCGTCCTCGTCTTCAAAAGGCTCATCCAGCGCTTCCTCAACAGCTGCTTCGCCTTCAGGTGTCTCATTATATTCAATAGCAATGCTCCCGTCATCCTTGTTGACGAGGTTTCGGTGGTCGAGTAGCTTACGCTTCTGAGCTTCGGGGTCGTTCTCCTCTTCGTACATGTTGGCCAATTCACGACCACCGATGAAAAGTTCTGCTCGAGCAGATACTAACTGAAGCGTTTGTGGACAAAGGAAGCTCTTCGCCAGAGGTGACATACAGGCGGGGTGGTTCATGATAAGGATAGGCTCCGTAAATGACATAGGTTCCAGGTAGACGGCAGCTAGACGATCAAGAAGCTTGGCCAGCGAGGTAGGCACCTCGCCCGGCACCTTGATACCAGCAAGCTTCAAGATAGCAAGGAGTTCGGGTAAGGCATCTGGAGATGAGAGCTTGGGCAGACGAAGCCCAAGGGCTTCTTGTAGTGCGGGAACAAACTCGACCCGCTTGAAAGGTCGCACGAACTGTTTCATGTCGATGGAAGGCAGAGATGTGAGTTGGGTAGAGATGAGGTCCTGGGAGTGTTGGGCAAGGCTGCAGAGAATCTCTTCGGTCTGGTTGATCAAGTCCTCCAAGTTACTATAGGCGCTGTAGAACTCACACATAGTAAACTCAGGGTTATGTGTCGCGTCAACACCCTCATTACGGAACGAAGGTCCAATCTCAAAGACCTTGTCGACACCTCCAATGACGAGACGCTTGAGCCATAGCTCGGGTGCAATGCGTAAGGCGAGATCTCTATCCTTGAACTCAGTGGCTCTCGTAACAAAAGGGCGGGCCACAGCACCGCCGGCGTTTTCAGCAAGAATGGGTGTCTGGAACTCGAGGAACTTTCTTGAGTGGAAATAATCACGCATGTGCTTGGTGATCTCGGCGCGTAGTCGGAGTACATCAATCGCTTGTCGATTCACCAACATATCAACATGACGTTCTTGCATTCTCGTCTTGGGATCGGTGAGCTTCTCTGGGATCTGCTCCATGGTAGGAGACAGAAGCTCAGGCAAAGCCTTGGCCTCCATGGTGAGTTCGCCGGCCTTAGTACGGACCGGTATACCAACGACAGCTGCCAGACTGTAAGCATCTGGGATATAACAGGATAAACATTAGGGATCCTACATATGTGGTCGCCCACTTCTATTAAATTTCTGAACATTGCGAACTTCAATTTCCTTTCCTCCTCTTCTACCATGCATTTTGCCCTGTTGAGCATGACCTGCAGACGCTCGAACTCATTCACGATGTCGAGAAAGATGAGATTCTTTCCGACGACGCGCTTGGATCGAACTCGGCCACAAACGCTGATATCCTTGGTATCGTCAAGAGCATCTCGAAAAGCCTCATGAAACTCAGGCACCGATTTACGCTCTGCGTGGTGTACGAGGCGAGGATGCGTCTCTTCGAAGAGAGGATCCTCGTTTTCTTTCTCCGCCCAGAGCTCAGTTCGGCGCTGTTGCTTGAAAGACGAGTATCCCTCCATGCCATCCTGGCTCCTAGCAGCCGAAGTAGCTAGGGACCTCCTGTATGCCACGGTTTGTGAACCCCATAATGTCCTTGAGGAATTGCCACAGCTGAGTGCATGTGAGCAACGGGCACTTGTGGTTTGAGAGATCGACTGTATTAAAGGCCGACCGGCCTGTCGTAAGTACCGTACAGACATCATGTCTTCTATCAATTGGGTTAGCAATGCCTCAATAACTCATTACTGAGAGATGAAAGAAATGCGTTGCACTAGAGTCAGAAAATTGGCAGTTTAAATCAACCACAGCAAGCCGTGTCAATCGCAGCGGTTCTGAAGCGAGTATGCGAATTCATCATATAGGCAAAGGGAATAGAGATAATTGAGAAGAATGTGTGTACTTACAATCATGATGGTAACATGGAACTCTCGCTCCATGTATGAAGAAAAAAGAGAAGCCTTTTGGAGCAGAGCTGCGAAAATTTAAAGAGAGCCGGTTCGCCGAAAATAATCCGGCTACCTATTGGTGGGTCCATGACCGCCACACCGCAGCCTCGGCAACGTGTGGCGTATGCTCCCTTACCAACCACTCAAGGCTGAAATTTGTTCCAACGCGAACATCCATCAATCACTTGGTCTGGCGCAACTCCACCAATTCCGCGACAATTTGCGCCGGATCGTTCAACGAGCCTCCACCATCTCCGAATAGCGACTCTCATCCATAAAACATCAATCATGGCTCAACAGCCCCTTCCCACATCTATGCAGCCCACCGACATCTATGGAGGAGGTACGCGCAGCTCTAGCTCCCCATGTCGCGTCAGCCCGCCAAAGATCTCCACTAACATGTGTTTATATAGATGAGGTTTCTGCCCTCGTTCTCGATCCTGGATACTGCTATACTCGAGCTGGCTTCGCTGGTGAAGATGTTCCTAAGTCTATCCTCCCATCGTTTTACGGTCACACAACCGGCGACAACCCTAAAGACCTATTTGGCGATGAGTGCCTCATCCCTCGTCCCGACTACGAAGTCCGCAACTACATGAACAAGGATAGTGTGGTGGAGGACTGGGATGTTGCTGCTCGAATTTGGGAGAACATGCTTGTTAAGCGCTTGCAACCCGAACGACAAACACCTCCCTCCAAGAACGGTCTAAACGACGACCCCAAGGCAGAAGGCCAAGATGGAGAGGGCGATGTGACAATGGACGACGCCGAGGCTGCCGAATCAGTCGAGAAGCCCTTGGGTGAGAATCCCCTCCTAATTACCGAAGCTCCTTGGAATACACCCAAGGCTCGTGAGAAGGCTATTGAGATCATCATGGAGAACTGGGGTTGCCCTGCCTTCTGGCTGAGTCGCACTCCTGTATTGGCAGCATTCGCCGCTGGCAAGGCTACCTCACTAGTTATTGACGTGGGCGGTGCCAACACCTCGGTCACAGCTATTCACGATGGTATGGTGCTGAAGCGATCTATTCAGAAGTCCCCTGTTGGTGGTATCTGGCTCTCTTCTCAGATTCGAAAGCTCTTTGAAACATCAGAGCCCAAAGTCGACCTGACACCCACATTCATGATTGAGAACAAGACACCTGTCGACGCCCTGGCACCTCCTTCGGTCCGACTACGACACTTCCCTTTCCAGATCAACGATTCATTCCGCGCATATGAGGAAGAGCGTGTGTTGACGGAGTTCAAGGAGTCAGTAGTAGAAGTCTGGCGAGGCCCCGGTCGTTACAGTGTTTCCGGCAATGAGGATTACGTTAAGACGCAACCCGGCCGGGTATTTGAAATGCCTGATGGTTATAACCAGATGTGGCGCGAGCAGCGATTCCGCGTGACAGAGGGCATGTTTGATGAGACGGCCGGATATCATACCTCCGATTCTGAACAACTTACCAAGGCGCAAACCATCCCCGAGCTCATCCGCTCTGCTTTGAGCGCAGTTGACGTCGATCTTCGGGGCAACCTACTTGCCAACGTCGTCGTAACTGGCAGCACCAGTTTGATCAACGGATTCAATGATCGTCTGAACAACGAGTTGATGGCCATGTATCCCGGACTCAAGATCAAGATTCACGCGGCAGGTCTCACAAGTGAGCGACGCTTCGGCGCCTGGATCGGCGGTAGCATTCTCGCTAGTTTGGGCACTTTCCACCAGATGTGGATTTCGCGAAAGGAGTATGAGGAGAATGGACCTAATGTGGTTGAGAAGCGATGCAAGTAAAAGGCCGGGCTCTAGGCGCTTTGGCTTCTGGCGTAACGGAGTTGGGGAGAAGATGTACTTACAAACTGAAATCTGAGAAGGGCCTGGTATGGCAAAAGTTCATTCTAGATGGGTATGATAGGAATAAGCTGTGCAATCAACTGCTGTAGTGAATTGTCTGTAGAAAAGAGCAAATATCTTATCTCTTATGTACTATACACTATCAATGGTCTATTTGTTGTCTTCTTTTGCCTCAAGCTCCCTCTCAGCTCTCCGTTTCTGAGCCCACGTTCCTATTTCTGCCCATATACGTTCTTTTTCCGTTGGTGATAAGGTCGCAGCAAGGCCACTTGTGCTGCTCGAGACAAACACTTTGGACCCCTCCCATTCGCCCTCAATAACTCCCATATTCTCCGATTCGTCCTGCCAGCCATACTTGAAGGCCTTTCCAACGGGTTTGCCATGTCTTACACGCCAGATACTTTCCCAGATGCTCTTGCCAACAACACATACAGACTCAGGACGGTACTTGCGGCACTTCTCGTGAAGAATTTCGACGCCCTCGTCCATCTCCTGCTTGCTAAGCTCGGAACCATTGCGACTGGGTCGGGCGACAATATTGGTGAATCCCATGGAGTAGAGTTCAGGGAGTTGACGATCTTCGGTTGGACTGCAGAGACGTGGTGTAAGGCCGCTTGAGTACAGAAGTTTCCAAAACAGGTTGGACGGATGAGCGTATGCATGACCAGTCCGTGCTGTCTGTATACCAGGATTTAGACCGATGAAGAGAACGAGAAGATTCGAGGCGATGGCATCGGGTAGGCCATTGAGATGTGCGTATGTCGAGGGAGGTGCATATCCAGAAGCCTGGCGTGCTCTCTTTTTCTTTGGCTTGACCTCATTATCTTTGTCTTCAGCGTCTCGCTTTTTACTCCGCTTCGTTATGGCGACTGAAGCGGATGAGATTGAGGTTGAAGTGGTGGGATTTGTGAATCTTGGTGATCTTCGTATAGGGGAAGTCTGGCCATCTGAAGGTTTGTTTGATTTGAACATGAAGTCACTCATTTGAAGACGTCCCTTGAAGGTTGCTGGCTGAAGAGGCGAACTTGAGATGGCCTGCTCATCTTTGACACCATCGTCACCTACAGGATCTTGGATAGTGGCCTCTTGGGCAGCGTTGCTTTTCGACATTGTGACTAGTTTGTTGGTGTAAGTGGGAGTATGGGAGGGTCTGGGTGTTTGCCAGCCGGGGATTGATGAGACAATCCAAGGAGCGTGATAGAACAACGAATTTATAGTCAAATACTGATACTCCTCGGAGATCCATGCACCGTTTGTATGAATCTATGAATCTATCACTTGATAACTTCAGGCACCTGTTCTACAAGATAATGTGGCGGAACAGCGTGAAGATTGTTCTGGGACATTCGCCACAGGCAGCCAGATCTGAAGAGCCTCTAGAGTGAGGAACAGGCGTTTTGGGTCCGACAGCAAATTAGGGGCCTGATAACAGGTGCCAGCTTAAAATCCGCGCCCAAGAGTCTGCACCAATATATTTGTTCCTAAATTAAAATACCTCTATAATTCACCACACATCCTCGCTGTCTTTAGATATCGAGGCCTGATTGCATTTTCTTCAAAGTATTACCAGTAGGCAATAGTGAACGGCTTTTGTCGTAACCAAGGTGACCCAGGACCTGGCCTACTGGCCAAGAGTGCTATTTTCAGCACCTGAGATCTAATGTCAGCCGCCACAGCCACACAAAACAGCCCTGTCCATCCGTGTCTGAGCTATAGACCTCAATGTCATGGTCGGGTTATGAGACATGACAAGTTGACGATTACGAACCCTGCAGGTCCCTGATGAAAATCTGGATCATTTTTCCTTTTCGTGAACATCGCGGATCCCGTGATAGTATCGACAAATACGAGATCAGCCTTTACAACCGTTATAAATCTGTTCTTTGATTTTCCAGATCTTGAATATAAACTCTGACTGTACAATTTGCTGAGCTTACGTACGCATCAGTTATCATAAAATCCAATAGGAGGTGGCAGCGTAACAGCATGGGCGCTATAGCCCTCTCAGCAAAACCGCTGCATCAGCACCAGCTTGCAAGCATGAGGCAGGATCGGTGGGGTCCCTCAGCCGCCGATTCCCCCACTCTAATTGGCGGACCAAGCTCAATTGGACCTTGAGTAGGCGGGGCAGCTGAGGGGCATCAGCGTTTGGTTGGCGTTGGCGGCGTGGGAGGAGCTTCAAGCATTGTACCTTACTTACGGTGAGGTAAACGGTGTTACAAGTAAGGTAAGAGCGTAGCAACCAGGTAAGCTAAGAGGCGTCTTAGTTGCTAGGGAAGTTAAGGTAAGACCGAAGACGTCAGGGACGACGGGAGAGAAGCAGAGGAAAGTTGCGGGCTGCTCTGTAAGGGTCTCTCCGAGATCGACTTCCTCCAATTCGTATTTAGATCTCAACTCTGCCCACCCCCATCTTAGTTCCCTAGCTCATTCCTCTTTTCTTTCTTCTTCAATTCCAACCCGCTTCACCTTTTTAATACTCTGCCTCTGTGAAGTTTCTAGACATTCGTCTTTGAGCTTCCAATCGCCCTCACCGCAACTCTCTCCAAACTCACATACGCTTACATCACAATGGAGGCCATCAAGCAGGCTCTTCATCTTGGCAAGTCCAACGATGCCCCGGCCGAGCCCACTCCCGAGGCTCTCAAGGAGCTCAAGGAGAAGTACACAAAGGCCGGCCAAGAGCAAGTCTTCACCTTCTACGACTCTCTCTCATCGGCCGAGCGAGGAACTCTGTACCAGCAGCTTTCTGGCTTCGACCCCGCCCACATCAACGACATTACACACCGCGCCTTGAACCCTCCCAAGACCAGCGATGAGCCCGATCGCCTCGAGCCTCTCCCCGAATCTGCTACCGCTAGCATTCTCGACTCCAGTGCCGATGATATCTCCAAGTGGTACGACTCCGGTCTTGACCTCATCTCCAAGGGTCAGGTCGCCGTTGTCCTCATGGCTGGCGGTCAGGGTACTCGTCTTGGTAGCTCTGCCCCCAAGGGTTGCTACGACATTGGCCTGCCATCTCACAAATCTCTCTTCCAACTCCAGGGTGAGCGAATTGCCAAGGTTCAGGAGCTTGCTGCCAAGAAGTCTGCTGGCTCCAGCCCTATTGTTCCCTGGTATGTCATGACCAGCGGTCCTACTCGTGGCCCTACCGAGAAGTTCTTCCAGGAGAACAACTACTTTGGCCTGAGCAAGGACAACGTCAAGATCTTCGAGCAGGGTGTTCTGCCTTGCATTTCCAACGATGGCAAGATCCTTCTCGAGACCAAGGGCAAGGTTGCTGTTGCCCCTGATGGAAACGGTGGCCTCTACCAGGCTCTTGTCATTTCTGGTGTTGTTGATGATATGCGAAAGCGCGGTATTCAGCACATCCACGCCTACTGCGTTGACAACTGCCTTGTCAGGGTCGCCGACCCCGTCTTCATTGGTTTCTCTGCCGCCCTTGACGTCGACATTGCTACCAAGGTTGTCCGTAAGCGCAACGCTACTGAGTCCGTCGGTCTGATTCTCTCCAAGAACGGCAAGCCTGATGTTGTTGAGTACTCCGAGATCGACAAGGCCACTGCTGAGGAGCTTGACCCCAAGCAGTCCGATCTCCTTCGATTCCGTGCTGCCAACATTGTCAACCACTACTACTCGTTCCGCTTCCTCGACTCTATTCCTCAGTGGGCTCACAAGCTCCCCCACCACATCGCCCGCAAGAAGATCCCCTCTACTGATCTTCAAAGCGGCGAGACCGTCAAGCCCGAGAAGCCAAATGGCATCAAGCTCGAGCAGTTCGTCTTTGATGTCTTCCCCTTCCTGACCCTGGATAAGTTTGCCTCGCTCGAGGTCAAGCGTGAGGACGAGTTCTCTCCCCTCAAGAACGCTCCTGGCACTGGCGAGGATGACCCCGATACCAGCAAGGCTGATATCATGACCCAGGGCAAGCGCTGGGTCGAGGCTGCTGGTGCCATTGTCGTTGGTGACAAAGCCGATGTCGGTGTTGAGGTGTCCCCTCTCATCAGCTACGTAAGTGAAACCCCATGATATTCATGAAGCACGTGAAGCTAACATTTCTCAGGGTGGTGAGGGTCTGGAGAAACTCAAGGGTACCGAGATTACACCCCCTACTCTCCTGTGGCGAGAGTAAAGAAGAAAATAAATTATACCATTACCCAGCCAGGATGACATAACGATGCTGTTGTCCCAGGTTTGGCAGATAAAAGTTGTTTGAGAGATCTTGTGTTGTTTATGAATACATTGATCACAAGTAATGATAAAGATTAAAGAGACTCTGGTTCGGAACTTTCTGTATATCATGCAAACGTGAAGTGGATTAGATTGAAAGTCTCGACTGCTCCTGCTCTTTATGTAGATATCTATATCCCGTCTAAAATGGCGCAAGTCTATATATTTTATGATTTTTAGGTGTCTATGTCTATTCTTTTTTTTTTTTTTTTTAGTTGGGGTAGGGTCGGTCGTCAGCTCGCTGGTCATCCTCATGGTCAGCGAGGAACTTCTCGGCCTCGAGAGCAGCCATGCATCCGGTACCGGCACTGGTGATGGCCTGTCGGTATCGCTTGTCCTGGACATCACCAGCGGCAAAGACACCCTCGACGTTGGTGTATGTGGTGCCGGGGACGGTCTTAATGTAGCCATCCTCGTCCATGTCAACCTGGCCCTTGACAAGAGTAGTGGCGGGGTCGTGACCGATGGCGTAGAAGAGACCGTTGGCCTCGTGGACCTCCTCCTCTCCGGTCTTGTTGTTCTTGACAACGAGGTGGCTCATGAGACCATCCTCACCACCTCGGATCTCAGTGGCACCGCTGTTGAACTTGACGGTGACCTTGGGGTGGTTGAGGAGACGGTTGGCCATGGTTCGGCTGGCACGGAGGACATCGCGACGGACGAGGACGGTAACGTGGCTGGCGTACTTGGTGAGGAAAGTAGCCTCCTCAGCGGCAGAATCACCACCGCCGATAACGAAGAGAGGCTTGTTGCGGAAGATGGGGACGGCTCCGTCGCAGACAGCGCAGGCCGAGACACCGTTCTGCCAGTACTTGTCCTCACCGGGGAGGTTAAGACGACGCGCCGAGGCGCCGGTGGCGATGATAACGGAGTCGGCAGTGTGTGTCTCCTCGGGGGAGAACTCGGTGCTGTACTTGAAGGGGCGGGAGGAGAGATCGAGGGTGGTGACTGTGTCGGTGACAATTTCTGTGCCAAAGCGCTCGGACTGGGCTCGCATGTTGTCCTGGGCGTTGTGTTAGTTACTCAGAATTGCCGAGCAAGAAGCAAAGGCGTAATTACCATCAACTCGCCGCCCATGATACCCTTGGGGAAACCGGGGAAGTTCTCAACCTCGGTGGTAGTGGTCAATTGACCACCAGCCGCGATGCCATTGGCCATGAAGCCCTCATAGAGAACGGCTATATAGTGTCAGTCTGGATCCGCGGGTTCTGTAGAACAAGTGTAACTTACGCTTCAACTCAGCTCGCGCCAAGTAGACAGCAGCTGTGTGGGCAGCAGGCCCTGAGCCGATAACTAATAATTCTCGTCAGACCTGTAAATTTTGGAGGAGGGGTTCATGATGGGAGGGGCAATAAGCACGAGGGCATGGGCATGGACAAGCACATACTGACAACCTTGCTATGCATCTTTCTAACACCAAAATCTACAGTCGGTTTTCTCGTAGTTTTCTGAAAAGTAGTCGCCGCTGCCGCAATCGAAAGACCAGCGCTGGAACGAAGAGTAACGCGTTTAAACGTTGAGGAGAACAGTTTGGCGGTGTTGGAGGGGAATTACAGGTGAGAAAGAAAAGGTGGGCTGTCGCGATTCTTTTAATATGGATGGATCGAAGACGAAAACGCCACTAGCAAAGTATGGACTGAGTCGCTAGGTAGTAGGTACGGTTGAGGGGCGGTAAAAAATAGAGCGGTTTCGGCGGATGAACCCTGAGAGAATAGCTTGGAAGAGGTAGAGAAACGTGGTGAATGTGGGGATTAATGCATTGCAAGTGCAGACAGGAGATGGAATCAATTTTGACAATGGAGATGGAGAGAGAAGATGTGATTGGATAGAAGGATTTATAAGCCCGGCTAGTGGAGTTGTCACTTGTTGAGGCGCTCAGGACGGGCTTAGAAGGTGATGGATGACTTGATTTGACTTTTCCAACACCCGCTGTTTCTCTTTATCAATCTGCAGATCTAACAGGCCATGACTAATCCGTCTATTACCGAATGTGGCAAGTATTTCGGATGTTTGCGAGATGAGGTGCCGACGGAGGTTTAATTGATTCCTCATGATAACCAGGGATAAGGCTCCGAACAATTAGCACTAGTAGACCGTAGATAGCTCGTAACTCGGCATCCGTAGAAACATGACATATGACACGATTATTTAATCTAGATATCCGTAATCTACACTCTATCGTCCCTCCTCAGCACCAACACTACCATCTCGCTTTCCAAACCTCGCTCCTAATGATCCAATATCTCTCTTGAAGAACTTGCCAAAGTTCCGCAAGTTCTCATTTATCGTAGCCTTCTCGAGCCCTGTTTGTGCCGCAGTGCTCGTGCTACTCTGACTGATGTCTCTTGCTGCGCTGAGAAGCTTCTCACCTAGTGATCCCGCCTCAAACCGTGGACTTACAGCCGCTGCGACCGATGGGTTCATCACTCCAAGCGGGACTGTGTTACCCAAGCTTGGGGTAGTCATGAGAGGCGTGAGAAATGGTGAGCTGGCTACCAGTTTATCATTGGGTGTGCTATCGCGGTGAATGCCAAAGAGCTCTATCAGATGAGCATGATCCGCTTTCCGAACACCCTTCAGATCGAGGATCTTCTTGAAGTTTGTATCTGACCTATCCGCAATATGGATCAAATACGCCTGTACCAAACCTTCCGGTGGTGATGGCCGAACTTGGAGTGTCTTGAGCAATGGGTCAAGTCTATTCATGCAATGCTGAACCCTTCGCACAAAACTCGATGGTGGAGTTTCATGCCCAGAGAACGATGCATGATGCATAGGCAGCTTCTCAAAGGCTTTGGTGAGAACATATTTGTCAAGTAACATCTACAAATCCACTTGTCAGCATACAACATGACTCGGACAACTCAAGTAACATACCTGCTCGGCGCCAACTTCGGATATCGGTCGGCATTGGATAATGCTAGTAACGTACCCCGTCGCCAAATGCTCCACCAAGTTGTCACAGAAGGCTCTGGCATACTGTTGCTTCGAGATAATAGCCAATATCTCGGCGGCTTTCCCATCAGCATGTTTTACCAGCTCTCCCACGTATGAACTCTGATCACCGACGCTCTCCATTGTGCTCCAATTGGTATTCCTCATCTCCCGCCAGACGCCTTCACAGTCAAGCTCGACCGCGCGAACAAGAGCCAGAACAGAAGCACTCGCTACACCAAGAAAGGCATCCGATTGTGAAGACAAGTCCACTTTAGGAACAAGCTCACTATCAATGCGTTTCTTGATGCTTTCCTCCAGCTGATTAGTATTAATGTGCCAAAAATCTGCTGTATTCAACACAAGCACAACATCCTGGAGTGGTGGCCCTTGAGGTCCACCGGACTGTAATATGTGTAGCAGAACCTGCTGAGCATATTCATCGAGATACTTAGCCAATATCTTGGCCAGATCAAGAAGACGCTCGCTTGTAGATAACTTCGCGCATTGTGACAGCGTGAGTTTGTAAAAGTGAAACAACTCAATCGCCGAGGCGATAACAGCTTGTGGTGAGAACTCATCATCAGGCGGTATGAGCGGTTGACTGCGGTACTTGGGTATCATGGCTGCCAGTTGTTTGTCTTGTGACTCAACCCACAAACTCAAGTATGGTTCGAATGCAACTGAGATCAACCCGTGGAAGCTATGAGCCTTCTCCTCAACAGAGCTGAGCGTGTCAATGCTTGCTCTTGATGAAGTCGCGAATCGCTTCTCCAGGCTCTGCTCAAAATCGAGTGTCTCCTGAAGACAACTCAACAGTAGATTGACATCGATCTTGTTGCCGTCTGTTCGTCGCATGCTTCGTTCCAAAATGCCCTTGAAATCATCTCGAGTACCGTCACAGAATGCTGCTGCCAATGTCTCATTAGCCCTCCAGTGCGGAGGGAAGATCATGGCGTGTTCGTCATCGTGAGTCTTCATCATTCGTTTGAACCAGGCATATCGCCGCCCAATGTTGTCCAGACTTCCAGCTTCGTCGTTACCGCGGAACACCTGTCTGTATTCTCGCAGCTCTGTATTAACATACCAATTCATGAGGCGAGCCTTGGCAGATTCTCCAAGAGCATCCATGACTAGACATGCTTCAACAAGTGTGCCTCTTCGTGCGCTGACTTCTCCTTTCGTGAATGCCATTTCGAAATCTTCGCAGACCTGTTCAAGAAGTTCCCTTTGTAGTTCGGCCACACCTCTGCTCAGCGTCGCGATCTGCTCGATACTGCGATAGCTGTTGAAATGTTTCATGAGCTGCAGAACAGCCTGCAAGAGCCCTGCACACTCCCTATACTGGCGCGTCTTGGCCAAGCCCCTGAGCTGCTCATAAGCCGTTGTCAGCATCTGCAGCCTCTTGAGAGCCGTCATGCTCAGCGTGAGGTTCTTCTTCGTTCCATCGAGTCTCTTTATGTCGGCCGTCATCGACGTGATGTTCTGTTCGGTCTCGATCGCCCGCGAGCGCACCGTCTCGATCTTTCGAAATAGCTGTGCTAGCTCAGCTTGCGCCGACTGCATGCGCTCGAGGCTCGAGTCGGATCCATAAGCCTGGTTCGTCTCGAGGGTGGCTATGTCGTTCGAAAGCGCATTCTGGTGGTTCTGTAGTGATTTCGAGACTTCGCTTATAGATGATATGGCGGATGGGTGCGAGAAGAGAAGATTGAGGTGGTCTATAGCATCGTAGTCGACTGTCCAGAAGCATTGGGATTAGTCGCAAAGGTATAGGGGTCTCCAGCTTCACCATCAACTTACCAGCGTCAAGAGCTGAAGCCTCTGGGTAGGTCCCATTCATTATGGAAGAGGCTCGATCATTCAGAGTCTAGAATATTTCAACGCCAACCAGACTTCGCTATTCGATGTGAGCATGAGGAAGCTCCTTGCACGTGTCAAGAGCCATGATGGCTAAAAGCGGGCCACCCCCCGGATAAGCTGCGACGATGTATTGTGGCTGAACTCCCCCTGAGCCTCCAACTTAAACACTATTCTATAGCATAGCAATCACTTACTCATGGTCAGATATTCATGACTTATAATGGTTGAGATGGGATCACCAACGCTGTGAATAACCGCCAGGCTATATATGATTTTACTATCCACTACTGCCAACAACGCTACTATCAAATATGCTACTCCGCTTTACACATAACCTCAACGCTGCTACATATAAATGTATATCACAATAATATACACTCTCTACTCATCTGCAGGCCTGTCATTTTCCATACTTTCCTTCTCTTTTGACGCAGGCTCCTTGTTTTTCTTCTTCATCGAGAAACGCCACGTTCCCATGCCCATGCGACCCTCTTTAGGGGCCTCCTTTGATTTGAAGCTCCCCTGGCCCAACGACGGGCTGCTAGTCACGCTTTCGTAACTGCGGCCAAGTTGAGACAGATCTTCCCCGACTTCGTCCGCATCACCAATGCTGGAACGATGCTCTGCTGACATATTCTTCTCAGAGAATGTGCTGCTGCCAGGTCCCTTCTTGAAAAGAACGGAATCCTTGCTCAGCCTAGAAGACAAGGTACTGAACTTGCTAGAACTTCCTTTCCTAAACAATTTCTTGACAACACTACTGTCAGCATCCTTGTGGCTCGCAGCATTGTTGTCAGTGGTAGAGTTCGAGGCTGTCATGCCTAGATCCAAAGACTCATGAGATTCTGATATCGAGTTTTGTGTATGAACAGAATACGTGTCACGAGACATCCGTGAATCTGAAGGTGAATCATCAAGGTTTGGAGGTACTTCAATGGTCGGAGTCAGAACTTCCTTGCCCTTCGTGCGACCTTCCTTGGATTTTCCGCGTTTCTCCTTCTCCTTGCCCTTCGACTTATCCTTATCAGGACTTGCATCCCTCTCTCTACGAGTGAAGAAGGGTGTCCTGAAGGTCGGTGCCGCTGGGTTGAGATGTCGACTCATGGACGCACGGTGGCTTGGCGGACGAGATCCAATAACACCGACCTGGCTAGGTGATGTTTGAGGGTCGAGGAGATCGTCATCGTCAAGGATCTCATCATTGGCCGTCGCAAGGGTTGTTTCAAGCACAGTCGGTACTGCACCGAGGGAAGGTCGGCGGGACGGGTTCCTAGAAGACCAGCGTCCTTCGTTCGGGGACCAAACTCCCTTCTTTCCCAGCATAGAGAAATCTCCGGGAATGTTCCAGATAGAGCCGCTATCAGTCGAGGGTCGAGGGAGATCAATGGATGTGATCGACGCGGGCCGCGAGTGTGGCAACTCATTGTCACCTGTAAGAGCTCCAGCACTACTGGCAAAGGGGTTGAGTCTTTTGGCAGAGAATGGCCTAGACGTAGGCCCCAGGCTTGACCTGTTAGATTCACCTCCAGAGTGCCTGTTCATCCAAGAGAAGCTTATCCTGCGCTTGTTACCCGGCATGTCATGATCATCAGTACTTCGGGGAAACGATTGGCTCTGTCCTGCCTTGAGGCTGCCAATCGCCGGTCCTTCTACATCTGCCGGTTTCGGACCCCTGTTACGTTGAAAGTTAGACAAGAGGTTGGAAAGCCTGTGGCTTGAAGGGAGAGGTGCTTGTTGAGGAGAAGAGTTGATGTTCAAGGAATGAGACTCCACATCGTTGTACTGGGGAAAGGGCAAGTTGTGTGATGAGCCGTGAGGACTGGAGAACATATTCAGAGAGCGTCCATCAGAAGACAGTGGTGACTGAGGGTTATCTTCCTCAGCGGCAGTAACAGAGTCTGGCAAGAATTGGCTAGGCAAATGCTCTTCGGCATCCTCAAATGTCTCGTCAAAGATACCCGAGGGAAGAAGAGCATGGGCTGTAGGGCTGAGTGGTCCCGCGTTCGCCCTGAAGTCGGCTTCTGACTGGTGATCATCGGCGTTATCGGCTGCATTGTGGTCCATGAATAATATTTGACTGAATCCAGCACGACTAAAGCCAGTT